TCTTGTTTAATATTTAGAAATTTTTCTGAAAAGTTATTTGTATCTTTATTTGTATAGACATTATCGCTCTGCTTTTGATATAATTGCATTCGCAGACGCCCATCTACCTCAACTGCAGTACAACGCAGTTCATAACTAATACTTAAACTATCTGAGCAACGTTCGCATACATTGGAAGGCAATTTATCACCTGGAGAAATCTATAAACACAAAGAATATAATATTATTTATATATTTTGTAATAAAAATGCAAGTTTAATAGTTTAAACGTGTCAAAGAATATCATACATCTTTTAAACTTACTTTGATCATTGGTAAACATGTCTTTATTTTCTTGAAAATATTTTTGTCTTGAAATATTGAAAAACAGTTTCGAGACTCTTTTCCACATAAACGGCATACCTCGACTTTCTCGTCTTCATTAGCCATGCTTGCAGTATTTTTATTAAAAGTTTACCTTTGTAATCATTTCATGCCTCTGCAAAGATTTTTGTCTAAATAAGATCAAATGCTCTATTTACAAAATATATATGTTTTTTCTATTAAAAATAAATAATTACGGAATAAATCTGTTTCATTATCATAAATTAATCGTTAAATGCAAATTATGTGTTTTTACAAAAAAAAAGATCTTAATGTACATTTAATGAAATTAATATTTTGAGTAGAATTTTTGTGGTCGCAATTAGAAACAGGATAGAAAGCAAAATCTGACGTACGGCAAAGGCGTACGACAAAGTTAGAGATATAACGTACATGCAGAAACTGTTCAGTAATAATATTTGCTGGAGTGTCGTCTCAGTTTCTGCACGTTTAGCAGATTCCACAGCTACACTATATTATACACAGCGCGGTCAAGTTTTTTGCTCTGAAAAATGACAATTAATACGCAACTATATGAGAAAGAAAAGTGAGATCCCGTAAAGATCAAAATTTTGCTCCTACTTTGAACATTAATTTTAGAAGATATGTAAATTTTAGAGGATTATAATAGGTTCTAATTTATATGGGAACATATCTCCTACTTTGACCTCTAAATGCCCTTATAGAAAAGTATTACTGAAACGATCGGCCAAAATATTACTGGCAGTAATTTACAGTAATTTATTACTGAATATCTTTCAGTAGTTTCAGTAATACTTACAAAAAAAATATTACTGAAACTACTGAAAAACTTCGAGAT